AATTATTATATAGATGAATGGATAAAGTTAAGTGTTGCATCAAGTAGGAATAAATTAACATTAACCAGAAGAGTCAAGATCTAACAGCCGATCTTCCCCCAGCACTGCCAGGTTGGAGGGCGATGTAAATTGCCACGCAGCCAAAGTTTGTCAAAGAACGCCCAATCAAACATCATTACTCTGATCTAACAACAACAGTACATGACAAAGAGACTGAATGAGCGGAGGAATACAGGCGTTCTAGTCCGGCTCCTGTTGTGTGAATAGATGACGTCACTTTACAGACCCGGTTAATAATGGGGAAAAGGATGACGTTTCATTCAGGTGACGGATTACAACCTAACCTAACCTAAAGCACAGACTCGTGTGTGGTGTTCTACCGTAACTGAGGATTGAAGACTTAATTGTACACGACACGACGACAATACGACACAAAGATCGCGCAGTGTCGTGGATATCCCCTAACTCCACCGTCACTGAGTGTGTATTTAAGATGAATGTCTGAGAATGCAGAATTAAGTAATTACAGTACTGATGAACTCCCTGGCTGACACTGTCGATGAAATAATAATACTTTGGTAACTGCCTTACGTATTTCTCCACTTCTTCACAATTATTGAGATTATCTGCCAACAATTATCTAGGGTGCAGTACACAGGAGGGTTATGGGAGGTGTACGGTGATGGGTAATGCTAACCTCGGTGTGGGCTTCGTGTGCTGACTGGTCCCTGATCCTCTGTAGTACGGTGGTGGGGGAGACGTCGAGGAAGGGTAACTTGATGGGGTTTCTGGGGGGCGGGGGTCCTGGGCTCCACATCTTCTTGGCAGGTGTGTCCCAGTGAGGGGCGCCGCACATCATCTTCCACATGCCTGGGTCGTCTCGTCCTCCTACCGGGGCCGCCGAGGCGGCCCGTGCGAGGGGCGTCGCCGCCGTGTTGCGGCTCGCCCGGGCAGAATCCCGGGCCGGTACTCGACGCCCACGGGCCGTGGGTGGGGGCAGCACCGCTGTCACGCTGTTGAAAGACCTCTCGCGACGAAGAGCAGTGTGGGGCAGCACCTGCTTGGTCACCTGTAGCCCCGGCAGGGACCTAGAACGTTCGTGGCAAGGGGACAGGGGTGCCCCCAGCAGCAGGGGAGGCTCTGAGGCGGGGGATATTGGGGGCGGAAGGGTGGTGGTGTCCCCTGGCTGCCCCAGGATAGCTTTTTGCCCCGTGGCGGCCTGGATGGTACTCTCCCTAAAAGGAGGGGCGGGGGTACTAACCCCCGCCATCTGCCTGCCCGTCCACACTCATGACACACCTACTTAAACACACCTCAAGTGTACGACACACACTGACACCCTCCCAGGCCTCCACCCATCACAAACAACCTGCAGCACCACCACAGATTGTTAACAAAACTGACAATCACTTTTAAGACTCCAGTTCACCAACTTTATCTTCTTATAAACACAGTACGCACTTCTGTTTCTTCTTAGTACGATTTTCAAGGTCCGAGGAGAGGTAGTGTGATGTGCGTGTTAGGGAGACGGGCTGGGTGTGGGGCGCCACATGTGCTGGCCAACAGGTAACGTGGGACTGATGATTGCGGCTTTCAGTTCATGGCACACACACCTGCGCCGGCAGTCCCAGCAACACACCTCCCGGACCATCGATTGTTGCGTTGCGGGAGACTGTCCATGAACAGGAATACGGCTGACAATGTGCGACTCATCTTGTATCAACACAATTTACTTTTCCGCCTGGATCACTGCGATAACATACACACTAAGAGAGTAATAATACCAACACTAATAAAACATCCCATCTCCAAAGGTATGACAGTACAGTACTACCATAGTCGTGGCTCAAGGTAAAAGAAAACGGGAATGAACTGGTTAAGAAAAAATGTACAGGTGAACGTTTTATGTCAACCTCGTTTATTTAATCATGGACCAATTACTGGGGAGCCGTGCACGTCTTACATGATAACTCCATGAATAGTGCAAGTAATGGCGCAACAATTACCCATAAAATCTGAATATATCAATAAATTATCAGGTTTTCCTCTATATACCGACGTAATATTCCCGAAAACACTGATAAACCTTCAGGAAATTATTTACTTCACGAAAAATGAAGAAAAATTTAAAAAACGCCAGGATGGAGATGTAAACATGTAGCGTTATACACCGAGTCCTACACACCACAAACACACACTCCACACATACACCACCCTACACATGCAAACACACACCTCTCCCAAACATACTGTACACGTGACAGCCGCCTAGCCTCGTTGCTGGCTTGCCTAATTACCAACCAAGTATAAAACACAAAGGTTCTCATATCTCAAGTCTGGGGAGGGGGGGTAAACACGAGACCTGGGAAAAACCCGAGTCCAGCCAGCATCAGGAGAGACTTTGTTACCTTGTCTAATCTTATCTTGCTATACATGTATACAACGCGTCACAGACATCCGGGTGTGGGGAAGAAGTGAGGTGAGGGGAGGGGTTACACGTTCGTCCAAATGGATCTCACAGATGATAAAATGGACTGAATATTCTCAAGCATGATCTGCCTTCCGTCACAGACCAATATGGAAGACGGCAGTGTTATGATTCTCAACGCCTCATTCATAGATAAAAAAGATATAGTTATGTGGGGAATATCAGGAGCGACAGGTAATCAGAACGTGACCGATACTTTCTAAACAAAAAAAAAGTGTTTCTCAAGCACCAAGAAATGTTTCAGGATATCGTAATGCGCTTTATACAGCTGATAGGTGGTTCAGACATTAAGTAACTACCATCGTATATTATGAAATGTTTAAAAGAGTATCGGTAAATGCATAAGACATCTAAAACCTCTGAAAATCGAAGCACTTGATAGAAAAATTCAATAGTGTTCAGGTTTCAATATTGGGTGAACTTTTTCCTGTGTTAAGAATCGAAAAGTTAAAAACAAATAAATAAAAATATATCTAAAGACCTTGTTAAAGACGGATATAAATATACTTAAATACATAAATAACTACAAAAATACACAAATAAAACTACATAAATATAAAACTTTTGTCCGAGAATCAACTCAATACTACATTACACTTTGCTCAGTCTGGTACGGCGGCCCTGACTGACACCCAGGACGAATCGGTCTGGGCTACACTTTTATATAATTTCTTCCACTTGTCCTCACTGTTGATGGATACAACACCGAACCCAAGTGTGGTAGATACATTGCTATGAATAACACGCTAAAATAAACGGTATATATATATATAGAACAGTCGAACATAACCTGATTAGTAAGGGCCTACAAGTATTCTTTCCTTGACACACACAGAAAGGCAGCGGTATTGCTGGAGCCTTAAGTCAGTTCTGGAGACGCCAAGACAGTTGTGAGAATAACAAGGTAATATTACACCTCTAACCCTCAGGTCACGAACGTAGCTCCCGAGTCATTCATTAAAAAGAGTAAAGAATGGTTGTTATAAATGGTAGGTTACGTGGTTTATGATAATGAGTTGTATATTATGCTCTTAGTAACCACGATATCACATGAGAATTTCAACCTAGCGGTCACGTACAGCGCAAGGCAATAATCTTAGTTTGATTTTTGTCATACTTAATAATTATAAAACACACACACACACACACACACACACACACACACACACACACGTAAGAGGAGGAAATAGCAAACTAAAGGTCATCTAATCAGTTTCTACGTTCGAGAATTTTTAGATCACTCGTTTGTGTTTAATTAAATTCCTCGCTTTTAACAAGTCATCACCGGATTATCTTCGGATACAACTTTTAAAATGTTAACCTTCTTATAGACCTGAATCACTGGAAAAGGTCATGTCCGCTCTTGGTGTTAATACTAATAAACTTTGAAAAATCTGATCTTTCGTATCTCTGAACTTAAACATTTACAGGTCGTCAAAATAATGATCGCGGAGGTACTTTTATTTTCCTGTATTAAACACCTCAAGCTAATAAAATAAATTAGTGATCTGAGTTAATAATAGAATAAACTACATTAATATTCCACCTGTTTATAACGTATTCCTAAACTTTCAACACTGGCACTAAATAACCAAAGAATTCCTGCTATATGTGGCATTACATTGGTTAAATTACACTGTCTATGTTGTAAGATACGTATCATATAAGACGGCTGACGGCAGTTGATGATAAACTGGTACAGTACTCCTATATAAAAACAACTAACAAGTACTATAACAAGAGTACTTTATGACCGAATGTGCCGAGTCCATAATTTAATACCTGTCCAGTACTGTATACGAAAGGTCATGAAAAGTCAGTAACATCTCAAAATACAATCTCATCAAAGACCTTTACAAGACGAAAATTTCTACCAAGTTCCCATCAAGACTGCACTAGTAACGACATCACGTACACTTGTTATGTTTACGGGTAGACATCCGGACAGTAGAAACATCCTCGGAGATTGAGATAATGACTTAACTCTAAGGAGGCCACACACCACGTTTCAATACCCGCCTCGGTCAGTAGAAACATCCTCGGAGATTGAGATAATGCCTTAACTCTAAGGAGGCTACACACTGCGTTTCAATACCTGCCTTGGTCTTCCTTAGAATTATGAGACACCTACAGCCAGTAGTCTGAATCTTTGCGTGTGAATCTAAGGCTCATAACTAGAAATCCATGAAAGTTAAAACTGTGTAACTTTGTATTTTCAAGCACAATTTTAGTATTTTGAGAACAATCTGTCAAATGAAACAAGTTAATGAGCGGACATCATGTAGTTGGGACAGTTTGGGGAGTGTAATTAGCAGAACAACTGTGAGGGCAAAAAGTCTTCATTACACAAGGCGAGTTCAACCTTTCAAAAGATAATTAAGTCAATTTGGTCACTGGAAAGTTCACAAAGTTCATAACAACACCATCAGAGCTTACCAAGAAGAATATTAGTACTGTACCTATAGTGACTAAACATATTAACCCTGCATACAGCCAACATTATTCTACTCACAGCTCTGTTGAGCGCCACATCAGAGAAGGAACGTTTTCTATGAAGACTCTCCTCGTGTGTCACAGCCCTGAAAGAAAATGTTAATTAACGTAAACTTTAACAATGTACTTACACTGGGAACTGTCCTATGTCTTCGGTATAAGCTGGGTTATATTTTTATATAGTGTATTGTACAGAAACTGATATTAAGACATAAAAGGTTCCTTCATTTCCTGCCTACCATTACAGACCTATAAATAATTTAGAATAGAGAGTTCCATACAAAACTAAAAATTATTAACCTTACCTTACCTAATTTAGGAACCTGGGTCATGATAGTGAACTACGTCTTAAAGGAAACAGCAAATTTTATCTTTTGTGAAGTTCCTGTACAGTACTTGTAATTTCTATCATGGTACAGAATTAAAAACAAGTAGTTTTCTTTGACAAAAGCGTCAGTTGCGTTATATGATTTAATCCGACAAGTTTCCATATTTAACTTAACACACACAAAACGTTTATCTGCTGATACAGAATATTAAACTTACTAAACACTGAAGAGCACCTGATGGACATGTTAGATTTGGGGTGAAACGTTGGATCAAAGCTATGAGTATTAAAGGTGTAAAACTTCTTTATACTAACACGGAGCTGTGATGCACCCAAAACGTTACAAACAGACCATTCACAGTGTTATGTAGTACAAACTTACCCTCTGTGACTTAATGTACAAGAAGCAGAGGATAAACCTGACCTGGGTCGAGGAGAGGGTGAGGACTGCGGGTGAGCGTAAGCGAGGGTGTTGACATAGGAATCAGAGGCGGTGAAAGATGCTGACAGCGAGGAGGAGAATGACCCACTGACAGAGAGGTTGGCAGGCGTGATGCTGCCTGATCCTGCTAGCACCCAGTCAACGTCAGCACCTGTAAGATACACACCATTAGTACACTCTCATAAAAAAGGGTGGTCAGGGATTAGAGCAGGTGTGAGGTCATTGACTAACTGGATCAGGTCATTTATAATAGAAAAATGCTGTCCTGGGTCCATCTGTATATGTCTGACAGGAGTGAGTAAGCCAGGGAATATTTTGTGTATTCTGAAGATAAACATTTATTTGACAGGCTCCGTGAGATCCTGAATCTTCATACTTAATGGAAAAGAAGCGTCATGCCTCTTAGAAATGCTGAATACCTTTTGGAAGAGCACGATTATTCCTTTTAGAGGCGGAGGGCACCACCAGAGAGTACTCGATAAGTCCATCTGGGGTCACCCTCGGCAACTGACGTCTGGCAAGCCTAGCCTGCACCGCCTCCATGACCCCGTCCATCTCCTCATTATCCTGCCAACACAACAACACATAAATGATCTGGTATTTATCGCCCTGCTAAGATAACATGTTAGTTATCGTTTATATGCTTCCTGTTATCTTACTATTCAGCCAAGAACACTCCCTATGTCTATTATTCTACCGTCCAACCAAGATAACATGTTCGATGTCCTTTACCGTCCTTTTAAGATGAGTTAGTTACCTGATTGTTTAATATCCAGTAAAAGCAACTCATTAGTTATCTGCAGAACCAATTATATAATTCATCAACAACCAAGACACCTCATAATATGGAGGCCAAAAATAAGACCCACAATTATTACTTCAAGTTTCTTAAGGCATTCTGGACAGACTCTGATCACCGCCTGAACCATTATATACAACCTTTAATTGAAGGTCAATAATCAACAAGATTTACCCTCACAGAACCATCATTACTCGAGGGCATCAAACTACTTAATACCAAACACTATCAAACCTGTCGTGACAAGGGGCAATTTTCCTCTAAGTAAAGTAATTCACTCAAGTTATTAAATTATCCTTCGACTATAATTAACAAAAATTCATGTTATAAGATAAATCAAGAGGATATTCTTATATGCCGTGTACACTAGGATATTGATTTTGACTCGATACTTAAAATACTAATATAAAATACTATCCTAGAAAATACACGTTAGTCTGGTTACAGGTATGTTACCATTTTGTAATAAATTTAAAGTCCTGTAACGCCTTAAATTTACATTCTATACAAGAAATTAATAAATAAAGAAAAAAAATACTATACGAAGCCTGTCTCACTGTCTCACCTCGATCCTGTCAACAGCTGCCATGAGTGGCCCCAACTTAGCGGGTCCGAGGAACTGAGCGATGGCCGCCACACACTCGAGAGCTGCCTGACGGACGCGACGCTTCGGATCCACCACACTAACGCTCACCTTCTCCGCCAGGTACACCAGATCAAACTCATAGCTGGGGAAGGTCATGAGGGCGTAGATGATGAAGTTGAGGCAGTCTTCCCTCACCCTCGACGACTTATGACCTAAATTATCACACAGGATGGGAATGACAGCCGCCGGGGTGGCATTTTGTAGAAGCTTCTGGAATACCTTCATGTTCTCGATCCTCACCACTACTTTAGAATCCCCGACATGTTTGACGACCGAGTGAACTATCTGTCGGAGGTATGTGAGAAGTTCCGTATCGAGATTTTCTATCAATAAGCGGAAGATATCGAGAACCGTCATGGATATCCTGAAGTTGTTGTCGTCGATGAGGGAGTCAAGGAGTGAGAGGAAGTTTGAAAGATGTGGCAGAAAGGTAGTTATGTCATCCAGAGACTTGACCACCAACCGCAGTTGTTCACAGCCTTCTGAACGCGTCTTCCAGTCCGTCTGAAAGTAAAAGAGTGTTATAAGTACCTTCATATAAAATAATAGAATAACATTAATTCACAAACAAACCGCCATTTTTCCTACATCAAAAGGCCCCATACAAAAAGGTCCCCCTCCCTCCCTTACTCTCATCTTGTACTTTTCACTCTCTGACCATGGCTCGCTTTCCTCGCCATACCTTAGGACCAGCACACACACACACCCATAAATCAATACTATTCTCTCCCACAAGGTACACGTCAAGCTTCAGACGAGTCAAGGTTTAGTCGTCATCGGCACAGAATGTTGTCTCCTGTTCAAAGCCGAATAAAAATTTACTTGAGTGTTATCATATCCGAGACCAGAGTTAACTATTAGCAAGAAAAGGGTGACGGCGAATTAAAGCGTCCCTCACACCCATTAAAAATAGTCGGTCAGGTCAGAAAAACAGGAAGAGAACTTACGGTATATAAAGAACATATATACTGTACAGAACTGTCTTAAAGGCTATGGAATAATACTGTACTGTGTCTTGACCAATGATCAAATACCTATACACGTAAACATTAAGGAAAGGAGGCGGAGGCGGGGAGAGGGAGGGGGGGGAGGGGGGGGGGGGGGAAGGAGGGACAACTAAACTTCTTTCCTGACCTATTTTTTTTACAAATCTAAGGGATTTATGTTAGTATTTTCATCAATATTTCCTTGTCAGATAATTATTATATACTATTTTATAGAATTTAGGTTAGGTTAGGTTAGGTTAAGTTAGGTTAGGTTAGGTAATTATATCGCCATACGGTCCGTAAGTGTGTACTCTAAATTAGTTTATACTGCACATTAATTCCTCAACATTGAAACATTAAAGGGACATACACATCCAAGGTTTAAATATTCTGTGATGTAAGTGAATAATTTACTTCATTTACCCCAATTATTTATTATCTGAAGAAACAACAATAACAAGAACATTCACATTATCATAAAAAAGTCCTGCCTCTGACCACGACCCCATGTACAGTTCCACCTAGAGACGAGGTACATTATTTTACTGTATTTCTAAGATGGTGATTAATTCATATATTATTCAAGAAGAGACAAAACTACTTTAGGATGAACTACATAGCTACTGCAGACACCCTCACACCCCTCATGACCTAGTTATGGACACCCTCACACCCCTCATGACCTAGTTAGGGACACCCAGATGACCTATTCACGTATGTATGTCGGTCACGGAAACAATATTAAAATTAACAGTCTGTATCATATTAAGAATACCTGATTATAACGCCCACATTCTCTGCCCTAGATATTGACTATGAGGCTACAGTCACTGAATGCCGCATAGACCTGCGGCTCAACTAATTCAACACAGATAGGATAGCTACTTATGTATTAGGATATTTAATATTAAGGTAATAAAATGGCGGCGAAGGTGTGGCTATTGGGGGAGGCTGGAGCCCATTAAAAAAAAGTAGTAGTAGTAGTGGCAAGAGTAGTAGTAGTAGTAGTAGTAATAGTAACGTTGCAGTAGTAGTAGTAGTAAACGCCCAGGTGACCCAAACAACTTTAATTATGTGTGTGTGTATCAATCATTAATTCGTTCACGTATAAAAACATAATTACACCATATCTGAAACAGGTAAAGATACTTGTAATAATAACACTGCCTTCCATAACAGCACCACGTCATAGTGAAGATAATGTCCTACACGTAACCTACATATATCACGGTGCGGAGTTATCATGTTTCAATATCACGCAAAGTTTATTTTTCCTTTTAAGTTTATTTTGTTGGGGTGCGGGTGAGGAGGGGGGGTGCTGCGGTGGGGTGAAGGAAGGGGTGCTGCGGTGGGGTGAAGGAAGGGGTGCTGCGGTGGGGTGAAGGAAGGGGTGCTGCGGTGGGGTGAAGGAAGGGGTGAAGGAAAGTGGGTGGAAGGAGTGTTAAATAGCTTGTGATACCACCACACACACACACACACACACACACACACACACACACACACACACACACACACACACACACACACACACACACACACACACACACACACACACACACACACACACACACACACACACACACACACACACACTGATTGCTCCACATCTCCAACCAGGAGCTAAAACAGATGTTATCATTGAGACATAACTAAACATTCAACAAACCTAGTGTCTAAAATTACAGAGAACAAAATAACTGAATGACTGTACTGTCCTCTGTAGCCAAACGAAAAATACGAGTTTGTCAAATTTTTTATGGTAATTTTTGGCAGGGGAAATAGTGAGTGTCTGGCTTATCTATATTTACCGATTTGTTTTAGGTTGTTTGGTATTTGTGTGTGTAATAATAGTAAGCCATCAATCAATTGTAATGTAGTAATAGTCCATAAGTTAGTATTTTTAAACAGTCATCGTATTTACTGTTAAGTGTTTCAGGTCAGGTCAATGTCCGCCTTTACTGACCTGAAAGAGGATTATTTTTTTCCACACCTTACGTCAATTGTTTTCTAAAAATATAATAATAAAAAAATCATATATGTAAAATAAATACCTAACCTAATCTACTTCCTTTGATAATGAGAATAAATACCTTACTTGTTATTTCCATTTAGAGAGAATATTAAAATTACCTTTAAAGTAGATTTTTTTCATTACCTCAAAAACTAGAGATGGTGAAGGAACAAAGACCCGGGATAAACAAGGCTGTACAGTATTAAGTTGTCAGAGGTTAATTACCCAATCATAGTCATTCTGTTGTGTTCACGTCTGCCACAATGAAGGAAACAATATTATCAACCAAGTAGTGTAGTGTGCGTCCATAACATAGCAAATGTTCACGATAACAGGGCAGCCATTCCTTTGTTTGGGTTCAGAGAGTCTTAGGTTATTATCACAGAGATTGAATAACCTTGTGTGAGATGACCCTCCCCTCCCTTCTCCTCCCTCCCCTCTTCTCTCCCCGTTCCTCCCTTCCCCTCTCCTCGTGACGGATGTGACGGTGGCGTGTGTGGGTGTCATCTAAGAACTCCCAGCTTATTGTTACACCACTAGCACCACTACTACTACCACCACCACACAATACCACCACGGCCTAACACTCTCACTATCTGCTATGTAATCATACTGCATGTGTGTACTGAGCGGACCAAGAGAGTTATTATTAAAGGCTCAGGTAAAAGATTAGTCACCTTACCTTTTATCACCTGATGATTGAACACCCTTACGTTACCTGTGGAGTTAGGTTAATTAGGGTTAATCTAGTCCTCAAAGGGTTAAATAGGGTACACAACCACCTAACACAATCACCTAACACAGCCACCTAACACAATCACCTGACAGAATCACCTAACACAACCACCTAACACAATCGTCTAACACAACCCCCTCACACAATCACGTTAATAACCTCAATAGCTCCACAATTTCTTTCCACTTCAGCAACTTATGCAATAACGTGTAACGACCTTCTTGCAACTTCTCATGCTTTATACACTGCCGGATCAATAACCAACACAACAGCTACTAACATTGCCTGTAATTTAAGTCACCTTTCTTGGAACTTCTCGATGGTAAGAGTTACATAATAAAAAAGCAACAACAAAACCAATAACATTAACTTTATCCATCTTTTATTTTTGTTACAACATTTAACATTTATCAACTCATTTGGTTTTCTCCACACATGGATTCAGAGGCTTATAATAATAATAATAATAATAATAGTAATAATGATGATGATGATGATGATGATGATGATGATGATGATAAGACGGAAACACCATAGATCATCACCTCTACTACATCTGCTCGAAGTCATTAAGGTGTAACCACAGGTGTATCCGAGTAACAGAGTGTCCCAGGAGTGTGAGTGAGTGTCCCAAGAGTGTGAGAGAGTATGCGAGGAGTATGAGAGAGTGTGCGACAGGGGGTACACCATCAGAGAGTGCGAAGGGTGAGCGTAAGCAGAAAGACAACCCCCTTTACCACAATCCCTTAGGGTCTAGTAACTGGCTGTCCCCAATAAGGTCTACTAGGGGGATTAATCTTCCTTCCCCACGTTAATCAGATTGGGTCCCTCGGTCTTATTAGGTCTGTAATGTTCTTACTGAGGACCGAAAGGGAAGGGGGGTTGGCTGGGTCATAGCAACTCGGTGAGGTGTAATGGGCGTCTTTGATTACCCACACAAGTCACATGTTATTAAATCAGGGGAAATTATCAGGTTTTGTCTTAAATTTAATGCGCGCACACACACACACACACACACACGTCATAATACCTAGAATACAATAAATAATTAAAGGACGGACAGGTAAGTCAAAATGAGCTTAACCCCGATACGAACACCACTTTACCTGCCCCCCTGCACACAAGGTATCTAATTACCTGAGCAAGAACCACCAGGTAAATGACTCCACGTGCACTAATAAGCCATAAGCCAGGGTAGTTACGGCCCCCTTTAAGAATAGGTCCCAGGAGATTCAACGACGATTTAATGGAGATGAAATAAACAATACTATAGATAATAATTATAGATGTTTTAATTAATTTTCTATGATCATATGAAGGAATAAATTTCTCCTGGTACAATGTTAACCGAGGAATCCCTGTCGCTGAGGCTGGTTCATAATGTTAATCTAAAACCTCGACCTGATGACACTAAATCTGTCAAAAGTTTACTTTTACTTGTGTAATAGTTGATAGCCGGTGTCGTGGCAGACTATGAGGCGCCCAGTTATAAATTTACTGTGACAAAAACGATAAACTGTAGGTGGGGGTCACAGGGCACCGAGGCTCATGGCAGGATGTGCTGGGGCGGGGCGGGGCGGGGCGGGGCGGTGGGCGAGGTGTACCTGGAGGCTGTGCGTGAGTTAGACATATGTGTGCGTGCACCAGACAGGTTTATGAGAGGTAAACAGTGTGTCTGGTGGCGCGGCAGGAGGGAGGGTGGTGATGGTGAGGTCACCAAAAGCTGACCTCCTGTGACCTCTGGTGGAGAATGACATCCTGGCGTGAGAAA